CTGATACATAAAACCATAGAACTCAAAGAGGGTGTACTTTCTTTTTCACACGACTGTATATGTTGTTTAAATAAGAATCATTTTAATGCCCAGTATTACCGTAACCTGCAGTTAATCTCAATAGCTTCTTTCCCATTACTAATGGGGTCACTGGGGCAGAAGGTGAGGATAATATCTCATTGACTTTGTGTTTGTGAGAGAAAGAGTAATTTGGGATGGGGGGAAGGCTGTATGGGGAATGCATGAGAAAATAAAAGACATATGAGAGAATAAATGGGGATTCTGTGGATTGTGTATTTGGAATAGTAGTTATCATAACTAATAAAGAGCCAAAGTGTTTCTTTTCTGTTAGTTTTTAATTTTATTTTAATTGTGTATGCTCAGAATCTTTATATTGCTTGCTGTAATTCACTTCTTTGAAATAGAGGTTATGTTACTCTGATTGTGGCTCAAACATATAGGTCCAGTGGATTGCTTTTTAATATGTGGATAAATTTGCAGTTTCTTTGCAATGATAACTGCTTTAGATTTTAAAACATTTTATGTGATGCTGTCCCCATCAATCCTTTGTCTTGCTAGTGGTTCCTAACACCTTTCCAAGCCATTTATTAGCATTTTTACCTTGATCTCCAGTCAAATGAATGGTCCGTAGAGAAGCAGTGTCTGCTCTTCGACTCAAAATCTAAAAAACAGAATATAAGGGGGGAAAGTGATGAGGACGTTTTCATTTATGAAAGTTCTAAATTCTAATTCCTTATACAAGGAATGATGTGGTTAAGTGAAAAGTCAAGTTGGCTGGCTGTAAGGGTCACACCATCTTCTTAGATAGCAGATGTAGTTGGCTCTATCCGCTCTGCCAATCTTTACCAGTTGACTGTCTTCCAGCCCCGGTGTGTACCGGCCATTACTGACTGTATGCTTAGAGTATCATAATGATTTATTACTTCCATTATGCGCTCTTTCTGTATTCATTTTCTGATATAACTCCTAACTTTGTGAAAAACCTTTAAACAAAGATTAGCATGCATAGTAATTATAAGGGTACCACTATAGTCAAGTGTAAAGTAGACCCTTTCCCAATTAATTTCTGTTAATCTGGCTCCATCATCTCTGTGTTTACTAGGAATGGAGTTTGTAAGATGGATAAGAAGAATCTGACTGATGAAAGTGCTTGGGTTGATAAGTAATTAGGTGTGAAGTGTCTGTCTTATTTGTAGAACAAAAAGACAGATATAGATTTGTGGTTCTTTGGCTAATCTAACATTAATGGTATGATCCCCAAAATTTAAAAGATGGCCCAACTGTTTCATAGGACTATGAGTACACATAAAGAAATGACTGAAATAAATTGAATCCTATAAAACAAGATTTCAAAAGCCCTCTTTGCAAGTAATGCTCGATATGTGGCCAGGAAGTAGGGTAGTGCTAGTTAGTCAGTACCCTAACGATGTATAGACCAACTTGCTAGGCTTTTTAACGTCTCTGCATTCAACATAAATATCTGTAGTGAGAAAGACTTTCCATATACAGTTGTATGTAAAATTAAATTATCCACAGAGGTGTGGGATTCTGATCACAGAGAATTTAACATCACATAGGCATTTTTGCATATACTGTAAATATACTGTATGTCAGCATTTACAATGTCTGAAAAAGGGTGCAGTACATTTTGCTTTGATACATGGTGATCAAATCTGAGGGGGCTATAAAAAGAATGAAGCCATATTTTCAGTTTTGAGAAACTGCAAGCTGAGAAACAATCAGTATTCCTAGCCATAAAAGTGCAAATACCTAGATGAGGTGGTGCTTGTTATTTTCCAGCTTTCCTTCAACATCCATATCTTATTTCATTTGAAAGAACTCTCCTATTTCAATTTTAGTGAAAA